GTCCCGCCCCCGGCCCCGGCCCCTCCCGGGGGGAAGGGGGCGGCTCCCGGGGGCGCGCCCCGCGCATGCCCGGCACCGCCCGTTAAATACCGGTGAGCCGGGGCCGACCGGGACCGCCGCCACCCCCGGGACCGCCGCCCCCATCGCCCTCCGCTATGGCCAGCGAGGGGGAGCCCGGCCGCCGCTGCTGCTGCACGCAGGATCCGCCGGGTGAGCGGGGAGGGCCCCGGGGACGGGCGGGCACCGGGGGGGTCCCCCGGTACCGGGGGTCCCCCGTCCTGAGCATCACACTGGGTGCCGGGGTGGTCCCCCCCCATCCTGGGTACTTGGGGGGGTTCCCCCCCTGTCGACCATCACTCCGGCACTGGGGTGTCCCCCTCATCCCGGGGGGCCCCCCTCCCTCTGTGTGGCCCCCGTGGGGTTTGGGGACCCGGGTGACATCCCAGCGCAGCAGCCCCCGGGTGTCCTGCGGCGCTGAGCCCAGGTGGCGGATACCGGGATACGGCCCCAGCGTGGCTCCAACCCCCCCCAGATGTCCCCAAGGCCCCCGAGCCCCGGGGTGACAGCGACGGCCCCCGCCGGGGCTCCCTCTGCGACCGGCACTGCGCCGCCATCAACAACGTGCAGGGTGACCTGGGCGACCTGGGCTGCCACCCGCACCGTCCCCGCGTCCCCCCAGGTAGGTCAGGCACGGGATGGGCCGGGCACGGGGCTCCGAGGGGTCCCACACCCCTGACACCCCCCCATCTCGCCCGCAGCCATGTCCTCCCCGTCCTGCTGCCAGCAGCACTCGGAGGAGGTCTGCGAGAGCTGCGTGGTGAAAACCACCCTGACGGCCGAAAACGCCGTGGAGGCCAACAAGCTCTCCAACAACTACAAGGTGGGTGCTCGTGGTGTGGGTGGGGGCGCCCGTGGGTGCTCCTGGATGGCTGCAATGGGTTTTCTTTTTCTCTCGCCCCCCTCAAAAAAACCTCAAAAATCTCTGCAGTTTGGCTTCAAGAAATGGAAGAGCCACGTGACGGCGCGGCCCTGGGAGGACCGGTCAGAGATCGTCAAGGAGCTCTACTCTGATCTCAACGTCATCCGGGGCTCCGGAGGTGAGTGGCCTTGGGGACAACCCTGTGTGCTGGCAGCATGGATTTGGGCTGCTGCAGGTGACAACGGTCCCATCTGGGGCCTCCCCTCCCGCAGGGTCCACGGTGACGTGCGGGAACGTCCTCTACCTGCTGCTCTTTGGCTGGTGGCTCTCGCTCCTCTACGTCCTTGCGGCTGCCATGATGTTCATCACCGTTGTGGGGGCTCCTTATGGTGAGTCCCAAGTTTGGGACCCCCGTGTGAAAGGCCTGGCTGAGCCCGAAGTGGCACCGATGGGTGCTGGGGTCTCTTGGGTCCCTTCTCTGCGGGGTGGCCCTGTAGCTGGAGGGGACATGTGTGTCCCCAACAGAGCTGATGCTCATGTCCCCACAGGGCGGCTCTGCTGGGACCTGGCCGGGTATTTCCTCTGGCCCTTTGGCAAAGTGATCCAGAAAGTGGAGGTAACGGCATGGCCCGAATCAGGACCCCACTGGGGGATAAATTCGGGTGTCCCATGCCGCACCCTGACACCCCCCATCTCCCCCAGGTCCCCAAATCCCGCCAGGTGCTGGGTGCGTGCGAGGCTGGCGCGGGGGAGAGCTCAGCCCTGCTCGGTGGCCCTGTGCCGCGCCGCTGGCGCCCATGGTGCTGGGCGGACGTTGGATACTGGGTGAGCCCCACGCCGGATGTGGTGACACCCCCTTCTGAGCATGGGCACCCCGGGAGCCCCCCATCGCGGTGGGGATAGCACCCATGGGTGCCTCCGCTCCCTTGGGGTGGGTGTTTTGGCAGGGGCAAACCCTAAAGGTGGCCACCCATTCACAGCAGCGTGCTGGCGCTGTGACGTGGCTGTGCCTGGGCTACCCGGTGCTGGTGCTGGCCCACGGGCTGGTGTGCGTCACCGCGTGGCTCCTCGTCATCCTCATCCCCGTGGCCAAGCTGAGCGCCCGCACCGCTGCCCGCGTCCTGCTGCTGCCCCCGGAGCGGGTCCTCGTCCGGCGCCTGAGGATGGTGGGTGCCTCTGTGCGGGGGCGAGGGTCCCACACCCTGCTCCGGGGTGGATTTGGGGGTGGGGGGGTGCTCGGAGCAGTGTCACCCACTCCTCCCTCTGCAGACGGAGGTGCCGCTGGAGGGGGAGGTGATCCTGTGCTGCTACCGCGCCGTCAACCCCTACTACTACAAATACACTGTGGACGGCATCAACGTCTTCGCCGTCAGTATCCTTTCATGGGCTGGAGGGGAATGGGGTGGGGGGTGGCTGGCCCCAAATCCCACCCCACCTCAGTCATCTCCTTCACCGGCCACCCCAGACCTGCTGCCGCTGGTGCTGGTGACGCTGGTGCTGGGCTACGTGGACAGCCACAACCGCCTGACCAGCTCCCCCGTCAAGTTCACCTTGGCTCTGCTCTCCATCATGCCTCTCTCCTACTACATCGGGATGGCCATTGCCAGGTGAGCGGTGATGGGGAGGGACACTTGGTGGTGACATGAGGACACATGCCAGCCCTGCTGACACCCTCCTTCTCCTCCAGCATCTCGGCGCAGAGCAACTTTGCGGTGGGAGCGGTGGTGAACGCCACGTTCGGCTCCATCACGGAGCTCACCTTCTACATCACGGCCCTCATCAAGGGCTCGCGTGAGGGCAACCGCTGCTACGCTGAGATCGTCAAGTCGGCGTTGACGGGGACGCTGGTGGGCTGTGTCCTTTTTGTCCCGGTGAGATGGGGTGGCACACTCATGGCATGAGAGCGCCTGGTCTCTGCTGTGAGCAAAGCACTGATGGGGATTTCTTTGGGGGCTTTCTCCATCCCCAAGGGGCTGTGCATGGTCATTGGGGGCATCCGGCACCAGGAGCAACGGTTCAACAGCCGCTCGGCGGGCGTCAGCTCAGCCCTGCTCTTCCTCTCCGTGGGAGGTGAGTTGGGGACAGGGGTGTCCCCAGGTTTGGGGGAGTCCCAGGCATGGGGACCCATGCCATGTCCCTCCATCCCTGCAGGCGTCTTTGCCCCGACGCT